CCAATCCAATCCAATCCAATCCAATCCAATCCAATCCAATCCAATCCAATCCAATCCACCTGGGGCTGGACTCTCAGAGAGGGTCACAAGTTGAGTTAGAGTCAGAGAAAGTAGTATGTAGTTTTACTATCCTCCTTTTATATAGTATATTAATGTATTTTACATAGTTATAATAAAGAAATCATTCAGCCTTCTGAACGGAGTCAGACATCGTCATTTCTCCCCACTGGGTTTGCCTGCGTTTACAACAGCTCAGGATAGGGACAAGGCTGGCTCACACCCCCCTTGAGATGTTCCCTGAGGAACACCCCACATCCCTGGGGTCACTGGGATGTGCCACACGTGGGTCTCAGCCCCAGGCTTGCTCCTGTCACACCTTCCAGGAGCATTAATGTGGCACAGCCAGGCTCAGTCAGCCCAGCTAAGCTGATTTATCTCCCCAGGGTGGTGGCTGCAGGGCAGGATTTTCCCAAGCACTGCCAGGAGTTAAATTCCAAGGGGCCAATGAATATGTGACCCAATTCCTGAGGGCTTTTATGTCCCTGAGTCCTTTGGTAGCTCCTGTGAGGGGAAGGGCTGCTGGGGGAGATGCTGGAGCTGAGGTCTTGGACTTGTGCTGTTTGCAGTGATCCTGTGGGAATTGCCTTGAAATAGCCACAGGAACTCAGCAGCATTTTCCTTACAGACAGAAAGGAGATCAGATGCTACTTGCATCAGGAAAGATTCATTTTTTAGCTCCAGTAAAATGATTTCAGCCACAAGGTGCTGATTTAGGCTGAATTAATCATCTCCAGGTCAAACCCAACGTGTTGCTCTTCATGTGTCTCCTACATAATGAAGAAAAAGCAGTTTTTCCCTGGCACTCCTCCTGCCCTCTCCCTCCTGACACCCAGGAGTGCTGCTTTCCATCAGTGCCACCATCCTACAGGGAAACGCAACCCACTGATAAACCCCACAGGAGACACCTGATCTCAGTGGCCTGAATTTCTTAAGATTCCTATATACTTTTACACTCCACTTAGCCCAATATTACATTTCTAAGCCTGAAAACATTCTTCCCCAATGAAGTCTGCTGCTGTTGAAGGGAGTTAGAGAACCCCAGGCTCAGCAAGATTGAAACTGATTGTTGTGATAGAACTTCCAAAAGTGAAACTCTTCCTTGTGGCACAGGTCATGATCCCTTCTCTGATTTGGTCAGACTGACCTGGGAATCAGGAAAGTGGCATTTCCCTCTTTCCCAGAAATGGCTCTGTCATCAAAAAAAGATGTGGCCATCCTGGTCATATTCTGGCCTGAAAGGAAAATTTAAAACCAAGACTTTTTTCTTTATTTATTCACCCCTCTGTTAAGAAAAGTAACTTAGGACTTCTGAACATATCCAGAATCTTGATGGGAAGAAAAGGGGGAAAGGCTATTCTGTTTTTTCTTCCTCATGAACTAAGAATGAAAATGATAAATCCCTTCACCCCCTCCTCTCAACTTCACAAAATAACCCATCTCGGTGATATTATTCCTCAAGTGAAGGTTAGAGTTTTTGTTAAGGGAAAATATCTTTGTTAGGCAGAGTCAGCAAGGTCTAAAAAAGAGAGACCACTCAGCAATCCTTATATCTTGGCCTTAAGATCAATTAAATCTCATTTCCCAGTAGCCACATGCCCCAGTCTCAGAGGGCAGCTCTGGTCACTCACTGGTGAGCTCTGCAGAATCTTAATGGGTTCCCCACAGCAGACTTCACTGTTGGGGTACAAATTCAATTTTAGATTTCTCTCCCTCCTGCCCTGTGTAAGCAGCTCATGTCCCTGTGCATGTGGGGCTGGAGGTGCTCCCTGCATCATTTCTGGTGAGAAGCACAATTTTTAATTTTGCTGCTGTTATTTTAGCACAGTGTGAAGAGTCTGGGTGAGACTTTCTATTGCTCATACAAGAACAATCAAAAATATTAATCTTCCTCTCCATTCCAATTATTTTACAGGAAATGGGCTTTTCATCTGCTGGGTGAAACACCGTGCTGGGACTGTCACCCAGCTCCTGTGTGACCACTGAGCACGTGGCCTGTGCCATCCTGATGGAAACCATTCCCTGGCTCTGCTCCTTGACAAAACACCATTTTCCCTTCATGGCCATGATCCCCAGGACATTTGGCTGGCCAAGGAAGCCAGATGGATGCATGGAACCCTCAGAACAAGGGGTGATTTTGGGAGAGGGCAGTGAGCCCTGTCACATGTAGAGCAAAGCTGTCCAGTTGGCTTTGAGCCTCTGCCACACACACACACACACCTAGTGTGCCCACACACACTCACAAATTCCAAAATAAAGAGCCTGGAGGAAGATTGTCAGAAGAGGAATCATCAGTGGGACTCTTCCACCAGGGATCTGGCAAATCCACAGCACTGGTGGGACTGGGCTCTGAGGAGACACCATTGAAGTCTCCCAGTACTTGAAGGAAGTTTATAAAAAAGAGGGAGAACACATCTTCATGTAGGCAGATAGATATAGGACAGGGGGATGGTTCTAAACTAAGAGGAGAGATTTATTAGATGTCTAGAAGAAATTCTTCCCTGTGAGGGTGGGGAGGCCCTGGCACAGGGTGCCCAGAGAAGCTGTGGCTGCCTCTGGATCCCTGGAAGTGTCCAAGGCCAGGTTGGATGGGGCTTGGAGCAACCTGGGACAGTGGAAATTGTCCCTGCCCAGGGTAGGAGGTGGAACTGGAGGATTTTAAGATCCTTTCCAAGCCAAATCATATCATGACTCTGTGCTGACTACACAAACCCCTTGAGAGATCCTGCCCAACCCTCAAGAAGCACACTGCATTTCTGGACTGGATTTTAATTTCTAAGCCAGAAGAAATGTTCCTCTTTCCAGGATGACCTGTTCCCATCTCCTACTCTCACCTGGCTGAAAGTCAAGCCCAGATACAGCTCCAAGCTTCACCAGGCTCCCATTCCTGCACTGCCAGGTAGACCCATAACTGCACCAATGCTTTGCTCCTGCTAAAGGTGGCTCTGCCTGGCTCAGTTTTTCCTGAGGAGAGCAGGAGGGTGAGCACAGCACTGGGAACAGGATCACATCTCACTCCCTCACTGCTGTAAACCTTCCCACACCCAGCTACATCCAATCCCCTCAAGTATACAACACTCCTGCACCAGCACTGAATCATAAAATCCTTATGCACAGAATCATAAAATCCTTAAAGCTGGGAAAGGCCTCTGAGATCACTGAGCCCAATCATAAACCCAGCACTGCCATGTCCACCACTAAGCCATGGCCCCAGGAACCACCTTTACACATTTTTTGGACACATTTAGGGAGGGTGATTCCACCAGCAGCAGGAGCAGCCTGTTCCAAAGCTTGACAACACGTTCAGAGAAGAAATTTTTCCTAACACTTCCATGAAGAAAAAGATGCTTCCATTCCCTGATGTCATCACGAGTCCACGTGTGTAGGGGGTAAGCAAATCATCCCCATGACATCAATTAGCAATGCTAATCTAGCCAAACATTAATTACAACGCCTTTAGGGTGTAGGCAGAAAAAAGTGAAAAGAAATAAGGCAAAAGCAAGTCTCATTTCCAGGTTGGGTTTTAGGCATTCAGCCACAAGACCACCCCCAGCAGAAAGTTCATTTTCAGAGTGTGGAACTGAGCTGAGCCTCCCATCTTTATCCTGAACTCTCCATCTGTAGCTGAATTTGTTGGTTCATCTCCTTCTCCTGCAGGTTGCCCCAGTGGATGCTGTTCCTTGCCTGTACTTTTCCCCAGGCTACTCTGCAAGGG